CCTTTATGCTTTATGATAAGGCGGTGAAAGGCTTCGATGTCTCTTGTGGGCTCTGTCAGGTGCAGGTTGTTGGTTAGTGGGCAATGGAAAAGATAGTGGTCCGGGTTCCCGTCTCCTCCACATACACAGATATCTGTTTCCGATATACCGTGTCTAATGAAGTACGACGGGAAGAGACCGTGGCGCGTTATGAAATTGACAAGCGGTGATATTGCCACTAGCCGGTCTGTGTCACGTTTGGTAGGTATTTGTAAGTTCGTCTACCTGTTTGGGATGTTTCCCATTCAATATGCCACTGCTTGGTAGCCTGTTCATGCAGTTGGCGCTTAAGAAACGACGGTGGAGCTGGGATGCAGATTTCATGTGCATCTAGATTGCTGGCAGCGTCCTTGGCAAGCTGATCGGCCGCTTCGTTACCAAGATTCCCAGCATGGGCTTTGACCCATACTAGGTTAATCCTGTTACCGGAGTAACGTTGCAGTGTCTCCTGTAGGGAGATGATAGTAGGAAATATGTGATAGTGGTTCTCCGCGGCATAGATTACAGAGAGACTGTTCGTATATATATTAGCGGATGCAATGTTGGCGTAGCATATATGCTGGACGGCAGCTGTAAGGGCGATGGCCTCCGCCTAGAAGACACTATTATAGTTTTGCAGATGTCCTTTCCATGTATGCTGTGCTATTCCGTCCTTGTAGTAAATAAAGGCACTTCCGCCTCCTTGCTCATGCTTGGAGCTGTCAGTGTATATCCTGGTGCTGCTGGACTGGGGCAGGGTGCCGTTCTTAAAAGGGGTGACTCCAGATCCTTTCAGAGAAGGATGTGCGCTCAAAATGTCTCCTCTGTGCTCATACTGCACCGGGTTGTACTGTGTGTTACCGTAGCTTGCCTCCTTACGGAGGTGGATTACACTAGCATATGTAGATTCTACCTGTGCCTTAATATGTAGAGGGAGTATACCACGTGAAATCCAACTTGCAGATTGTACGCCTATGGAAAGAGATATTGTAATGATAATAATGAAATAGTATATGAAATTGATGCAATGTAATGATATTTACTATGAAATGGGCTTTTATTAATTACTAGCCGCTACTCGGCCAGCCTTCGTCTGGCTTTTAAATGTACCGTAAAAATACCTAAAGGGGCACAGAATTTTACTCTGCAGAACAACTTTATCAAAAAAAATCACTAAAAATGTATTACATATTAAAAAAATTACAATGAAATAAGCAGTATCTCTTAATACATATATTAATTATCTTAATAAATAAATTAGTCAACTTCCCGTTGCAAAATCTTAAGAATTCAAATGATATAAAGGAAGTTAAAAACTTTATTTCCTAAAACAAATCATGCAAGACTTTTTATATAATTAAAATTGTATATAATTAAAACATAATATAAAAAAATTACAATGAAATAAGCAATAAATCTCATATTTTCAAGAGAAAACAGACTGCAGTCCAGTATCCAAAGCAATGAATGAAAAACTGTTGCCAAAACGACATTTCTAAAAGAAAGAAACTGTCATCAGAAAGCGATAACCAATCAAAATTGTGCTTTGTGGATGACATAATTCAAAATATACAAACCTCTTTTCCATTAGATAATAAAGGGAGAGAGAGAGACAAAAAAAGGAAATTCTTTCTGTTGTGCTTCGCTAGACATATGCGCGTCAGAATAAGAAGATTGCGATGTGCGCGTTGCGTGTCCAAAAATCAAAAGAAAATAAGCAGCATAAAATACATAATATTTTATCTCGTATTTTCAACAGTCAGCAGTCCAGTATACAAAACATTGAATGAAAAACTGTTGCCAAAACCCCATTCCTAAAAAAATGAAACTATTCAAAATGATGCGATTTAATCAAAAAAGATAAAATTTTAAAAAAATCCAATTCGAATTTTGAAAAAATCGCTTCGAAGTGCACTGGCTCTTGTCTAGATGCACATATTTACCAAATTACGTAGCCCTGGGTCTACTAGCTTACGCGCCAGCATAACGAAAGACACACACAGACAGGCAGACTCTTTCTTTTATTATATGTATAAAAAAAGAAAGAGTCTGCCTGTCTAACTCATATTTTTAATATATATATATATTGTTTTTTAGTTGGATGCACCTGTCCGAACTAGCTTCCATAGCTTCAGGTAGAAATAAGCAAGCATAACATTTTTAAGAAATCTTAGTATTATTTTCCCATCTGAAATCATCCGGCTAAATCAATGTGTGAATTGCAACTTCTATAATAATATTAACTATAAATTAAACCTTATTTAAATACAGAATATATTTGCAATAAGCAGTTAAATCAAACTTTGCTACCAAGCTAAGCGAATTGCTTATTCAAGAACTATTTCGGATAAAACTATAAGGGAAATATACGGAAAATATAAGGGTAAGGATGTCTTCGTGGCGCGTTTTATAAGGAAAACTAACTTGTATTCATTGAAGATATCCAATATCAAGACTGTTCACCGGAATTCAAAACCAAATCGATCGACCTCTGTTCAAAAAAGTCTTAACTACCCGGTTACTGCTAAGTTAAAAATTTAATTCTTTTGCAGTTATATTGTAATTCTAAATGTATTATGTCATAACTGCAATTATAACTTCATTAATTAACTAAAATCTAATTACAATAAGTCACTGACTTCCTTCAGTCAATAATAGCTTAAATGTTAAAGATAAATTATAAAAATTTTATCGAATGAGAATATTCTGAGAAACTGTTGCATGGGGTGGCGCATGAAAGTTTAATTAAGATCTTACATTTTGCTCATTAACAATATAACTGCAGCTCAGTTATATTGTAGCTGCATTAACTGCAATTACAATTACATTGCAATTACATTGTAATTGTAAGATTGCTGCCAAATTTAATTTATACTAACATATACTGATCAGCCAAAACATTAAAACCTCCTATGAGCTGTTCATGTGAAGTTAACTGCAGGGCCAATTAAATGGGAGTGTTAACTTTTAGGTGGTATATAAATACTTAGCATTAATATTCTCTCAGTCGCCCAATCGGTAAAGAGGTTAGCGTCGCTGACTGCCGTGTCGAAGGGCCCGGGTTCGAATCCCGGGGAAGGCCTGGATGTTTATAAATGTATAGTGTCGGTGCGGCATGGCGGCACTCTAAATATGCGGCGAGCCGAAAGTTCTCTCGTGTGGTTTGGTGGAAGGGAAGATGGATGGGAGACCCTCGGTCCCGTCCCCCCCCAAGGTGCTCTTTATCAAATTTGGAGGCGGCGTCATACAGGTGAGTATAAGCAACAACAACAACAATTGTATTTATAATACAATTTGATGGTAATTGAATAAACTTTAATTGAAATTACATCGTAACTGACCGGTTTATAATTATAATTACATTGTAACTAACGGATTTTAAATTACAATTACAGCGTAATTACCTTACTCGTAACTGCAGTTACAATTATATTGTAATTACAAATATACGCAGATGCAATTATGATGTAATTGGATTACATTCTAATTGAATTACTTATATTTGCAGTTTCGTTGTAATTCCATTATTAATCAATCACATTCTAACTGAACTCTGATATATAACCCTAACAGGAGTGAAGCTAGTTTTCGTTATGAGATAAACTACAAAGTTTTACTAAGGTTGTAAACAGTCTTTTTGATTTAATAGTGCTTGGAGTATAATGGCACGACTTTGTGCTGCAAAAACCACAGCTCGGCGTGATGCAAATAAATAGAACAGTCAGTTTAATTCAAATGTAAAACAGTAGTATAAGGTTACACAATTAAAATACTAAGTTAGAAGCTGAATCAATAATTTACCGGCGTGTCAGATTTAAAGCTTCAGCGGCGGGAGACCGCAAAACCGAATAATTACAACTGCTAAAGCTGGCAGAAACTAACCACGTAGCCAGCAATGCCAGAAACATTCTCTTTCAAGATCGAAAAACCTCAGCTTAAATATTTAAATAACCAATTGCATTCTGGTAAGGAGTACGGAAAGGTAAAGGTAGAGTAAACACTGAAATCATAATAAGTAGAAAATTAACATAAGGATACTCTACAACTCTTGCACACTTTCCGAACAACAGCTTTTCTTTCAAATTAAGAAAACAGAGGAACATCAAAAAGCCATGCTCTCAATAAAAAGTCATACAACCCTTTGAAACACATTCTTTTATCGATGGCAGAAGTACATAACCAAGATGTAACAAATAACATTTAAAATTCAGTTTCTATTCGGTTAGTTTAAACTTCGTGAGATGTTTTAACACTAATAAAAACAATAATAGCAGTAAAGAGCAAATCAGACACGTTTAAACCTTTCCGGTAATTCTATTTTCGGAAATGGTTTTAGAAAAACGTAACAAAAGTTTTAATTTTTAGTTAAAAGAGAAAAGATTTAAAAAATAATTAATAACATACGTATCCTATTTTCTTACCCTTATTTACAGTTGCAATTACTGAGCTACCATTAATGGTACAAATTACCAAGCTGAAAGCTATCCCAATTTGCGGCATATTAGGTTACCACTGTTTTGTAAAACAGAACAGATATTTAACGAATTGTTTTAGGAAAATTTTTATTTTCTTTTGAGAAAATATGAGATTAAACATTTGGCAGCAAGCGGTTTTAAAAAAATGTGTCTTGAGAACAACACTGTATGTTTTGTTAGTATTTTTGACTCATAACCTCCGTTTTAATTAAACTTATTTCTGATATTTGTGAAAGAAAATTCTTATATTCTGTTTATTCTCAGAAAGGTTCTGAAATATAACTCTATTTTTATGTTAATTCATTATAATATGGTTTCGTGTAACACACCTTTCTCAGCAATCTGACCAAAACACTAGAGGCACCCTTCGTCTCCCATCAATGTATATAGGGGCAACCTATATTTAATGTTTAACTTTCATGATCTCTTCTCGTTGTTTCAGAGTTGAACCATCTTTTTCTACAGAGTTAAGTGTCGTGACGTACGTTGCGCGTTTCCATGGAAACGAATTCTCTCCTATCAAAGAGAACCTATTCTTATAGCAGGCATTCTGTAACTTTTCTGATCGTTGCTTTTAATAATGCAGGTAGTCTTACTGTGAAAGCTACCTGTTGTCTTTTCTCTAGAATGAAGAATGGAGATTCGATTGATTTGTAAATCTGGTAAGTTTTTCTTTAATTTTTAAAGAAATTTATTTGCTAAATTTTTACCAAGAACAAAAGTTTAAGTTTTTATGTTAGTTTTGTTGAAATTTAAAATTATTTACGTAATAAAATACTGAAATAAAATTATTTCGATAATGTACATAAATTGCTGAAATCAAGTTATTTTAGTACAAAATGGAGTAGCTCAATTATTAGAAAGGATTTGTTAACTGTATTAGCAATATTTGTGCAATATTTAGATATCATGCAACATTTGTGCAGGACTAATATTTGTTTCTTATATTATTTGAGCAAGTTTGAAATCAATTTAAGAGAGTGATGTTCTATGTCCTAATGCTAACTTTAATAAAAATGATTAATTCGGGTTTTTTTTTTTTTTTTTTTTTTTTTTTTTTTTTTTTCCTATGCCTTAAAATCAAAGACTGAATGTTATTGAGTCTGGAATTAAAAAAACGGAATTTAATGACTTATTTCAGTTATTTATAAAATTGATTCTCGAATATTAAGTAAATGGTTTTCAAGAGAATAAATATATCTTATATTCTAAACTGCTTAATATAAACTTAGGAAAACTAATGCTAAATATATGCTATCAATTTTAAACGCGTATAATCTACCTTTGATTAAAATTGCCCATAATATGTTAAATAAAATCTCATTTAATTTTTCAATGAATTAAAACAAAAAAGTAGTATTTCTTGCTATATAAAATTTATTTATTTAATTTATTTTTTACATTACTCTGTAAAATAATCTAAATAACTCATTTTTACAAATGATAGATTTAATAAACATATAGAAATTCGGAAATCCGTAAAAAATTTCTGTAAATCAATTTTATCAAGTAACAAAATGTTTGATTTAATTACTTATAAGTATTGATTTAAATTCAAATTGAAAACACCCTATCCCTCGATTTATATGAAAGATAGGTTCCTCAGAAAACCGTGTAAATCGAAATCTGGTAAAAGTATAGTTTAGGGTACCCCTTGGCGATTTTGGACGGTACATGGATACCGATTTTGTGCAATTCTTTAACTCGTTATTTAGGCTTGCGAAGCGGCGATTTTTCTACACAAAGCCAAAATAACAAGACAAAACAATTGCACAAACTCGGTATCCATGTACACATCGACTTATTTTCACTTAAAAAAAATCCCTGAATTGCACAAAAATGGCATTGCGCACTCCTTTGACTTTATCCATGTACAGGTCGACCTATTTTCACTTTAAAAAAAATCCCAGAATTGCACAAAAATGGCATTGCGTACTCTTTTAAATTTATCCATGTACACGTCGACCTATTTTTACTTAAAAAAAATCCCAGAATTGCACAAACTTGCATTGCGTTCCCCTTTACTTTGTCCATGTACACATCGATATATTTTCACTTAAAAAGTCAAAGGAGCACCAAATTCTACAATACAGGCAAACAAAAAATACATAATCTCAATAAAATACATTTTAAACCAAACGATAAAATAACATAAAAAAAAGGAAAAAACATGTTATACGTTTAAGCACTACCAAAAGCAAATATTCACTTACCATGATTTTCGAGTTCGTTTCGTACACCCAGAGCCACGTCGTAAAATCAAATATCAATCATACTCAAATGACTTTTCAAACCAGGTACTCTTTCTGATCGAACGCTTCACAGAGTGATCATCTGAACCTTTCTTCCTACAAACCCATTCAAATCCATTTAAACGGTTTTTACGTTCGACTAGACGCATATCCTTCCTACTACAGGACACCTATAATGGCCACTAAGTAAACCTTCATTTACACACCAGTCAAAGTTCTTTTCCCCTTTCGCTTCAAATTAATCTTACTACATTCGGCCATTCTACCGTCTAAAGAATTAAACAAACACACACCACAAAAACGCTTACATAACATCCCATGATTCAAAATTTCCCAGAATCATGCACCCGATTACGTCACAATAGGGTTTCCATAACATTCAACTACTCAGGCTACCATAAATGAAACAACTTGGCGATAAATCAAACAACAACTTTTCCATAATACAAGGGGTACCTTAAAGTCTACTCTACCCCGAAATCTTGCATTTTGCTATGTAAATCCATGTAAAACGAAAAACACACTTAAATCTGCATAATTGAGTTATTTATTTACATAAAACAAAAGTAAGACATCTTAAAATAAATAAAGTTATACTTCGTTCATAAAATAACAAATATATGTAGGTAATAGAAGAACATAATTAATTTATTTTACATTAGGAAAATCTAAGATCATTCAAAAAATTATTATAAATTTAATCACTGTCATCACTTTCATGAATTATTAATCTTTTCTTCTTGATTGTTATGATTCACTTTCATCACTTGAGCGTTCTTGATAAGATTCTGCTTCAATGGTTGACGAATTAGCTAAGATCTCACATCGATAAGACTTTGTAGTAAAAAAATATGTGATTAACAATTGCCTAGTTCTTTTTTTTCCTAAATCTTTGTAAACCTCCTCATATTTATTTAAGGACTTACTAAGCTCCCGTTAGAATGAGATAGCTCGTTCAACATTCGTGTCATATTGTAAAAAATGATTACCTAATCTTCCCAATTGAATTCCTTCGTTGCTGTGGTCGCAACTGGTTCAGATTGCTATTCATCAGAATCATTGTCTTCATCATGTTTATTTGTTTCTTGAATCATGTTAACTAACTCATCCTCTTTTAGTTCTTCATCAGCCATTATTTCTTCAACATCCGTCTGAGCTAAATCCTCAAAACCTTCCTCAAAAATCTTCAAACCTATAATTTGAGCCAATTTAGGTGATCTGAGAATATTCATGCTCGAATTCACTATTCGCCGTGACCGTTTCGCCATGGCCGTTCGCCGTCGGGCCTTTTCACCGTTGGGACGTTTCGTTGTCAAGACACTTTTTTTTTACGCGACTGTATTATATCTTGTCATATTATATTGATTCAATTTAATAATTTAATTTAATAAATATTATATATATAAAATAATATATAAGATGTTTTTGTGTACACTTTTATACAAATACATCGTTACACATGACATATTAATTTTAAGAGAGTAATTTGCTAATTAGATTCCAAAGTAATTCCGTTTTCCATTCAGATTTCATAAAAATTTAATTTTCCTTCTTTTATGAATGGTTTCTCTGAACTAACGGATTAAAATTTCAAAAACCTGACGGAGAAACGGCCACATTGAAATGGCGACGGGGAAAAGTCCTAGACCCTGCGTTGAGCCTTGATTGTTTAATCTGAGTATATGGCAGTCCAACATGCTTAACACAGTCTAAGATTGTAAATTTCTTCTAAGCATCCATAAGAGTAAGAGATTCATCATTCTCCATTTGTTCTTAAATATATGCCACAAATTTGCCAAAAAATAAAATAAAAATGCCACAAAAAATATAAATGTTGAAAACTTGCAAGTAAACATTTAAATATGTAGATAAAAATGACGTAAGCTTTGGTGCTAAAATACTGATACTGCACTAGTTCACGTGAACCAAATAGCTTTACTGTTGTGAAATATATATACACACTACGCGGATTTCCCTTTTACAACACGGGAAAATCCCCATCCTTGTTGTTGCCACCAGTGACACATCCTTGGTCATCAGATCCCTAAGTCAAAAAAATGAAGTCTTAATTGTAAGAGATCTGGAACTGAATCAATCAAGAAACTGCCAGGAAGCTGAATTCCAGAACAATAAATCACAGCAAAAACATTGTTTTGGCAGAACAGAGCAGGCAAGTTATGTTTGAGGGTCTTATGACTGGAGAACTTGTGCACTCAGTAGATCAGTTCAGATGAGGTACGAAGAAGGATCCATTTTATGAGTTACAGAAATTGTACTGTCGTTTCCAAACCGCTTACTAGGAAAACAAGTACTGAATCTTGAATTATACTGAGGAAAGAACGCAAAATATTAGCTAACGAAAATAATCCAGTTGCAAAATCAATGATTGTTCACACTCTTTGAGTAACACAACGTACTTGGTTTTGGAGGAACATTAGTGCACATTCTTCCTTAAATGACTTTTTTTTAATTTCAAAATAGAAATTTCAGATTATAACATGGCTTAGTTTCAGAAGAAGTTCCAGATTTGTTCACTGCTTTGTATATTAGGAAAATATTTACCTTATAATCCAAGAAATATCTTAAAAACATTTAGTATTCTTCATTCAGAATAAAAAACTGGATACAGAAGAGGGGTGTAATAAAAATTAAGTACAATACCGGCCACTAATCAAATCAGCAGCTTATTACATTGAAATTTCCAGGAACGAAACAAATTTATGCTAATCCATAGAAAACCTGCCTTATATTAAGCTAATGTCCACCCTTATGACCTGATTGATAAAACTCTGATTGGCAAAAGACTGATTCTCCGGTGCTAGAATATTCCATTTGTAGCTATCAAAGCTGTTTGTAGTTCATCCAATTTAATTTGTTTTGGACCGAGCCTTACTTTTCGTTCAGGTACATAATGCTACAATAAAACAGGGTTGACAGACATTTTTTTACCCCCTTTCGGTCTCTTCCGGCTTCACCTGTGAAACGCTGTTTTTATAGCTCATTGTGCGCACTAGAGCTTAGCCAGGCAGAATTTCTTTATCTTAAGGATTAAAAAAAATCTTTCATAGTTTTGACAATTGTATGTCTGAGAATGATATTCTTTGGAATAAGTGCATTGTCGTATGCCGTTACGGAGCTAGAGCACCATTCCGGTAACACCGAAATGGAAAATATTCCGGTATTTCTCAACTAAAGAAAGCTGCACCTGAAACTAAATTTACTCAGTGCTCCATTCATCGTAAAGCTTTTTAATCCTCGAAAACCTGAAAATTGTTTTGAATCAAGCTACGAAAACTGTTAATTTTATTAAAAGGCGAGATTTAAATTAAAGAATACTTACGATTTTATACCAAGAGATAGGAAGTCAACATGAAACGCTTTTGTTATATACCGAAGTAAGGTGGTTACCCAGAGGCAAAGCATTAAATCATCTTTTTAAACTTCGATCAGAAACTCAAATTTTCCTCTGTCATTCAAAATTTGAATTTCAAAACTTTTCTGTAGTGAATTATGGTTGGCGCGTTTATCATATTTAGCTGATATTTTTGGAAAGTTAAATTTAGGATTACAAGGACAAATTGTTAATTTGTTTGCCATTAGAGATAAAATAAATGCAATGATAAAAACCTCGAGCTAATGATAAAAGAATTGGATAATAATATTTTAAGCTTTTTACCGCCTTTAGAGAGTTTTATAACCTAAAATAATTTGAAATAATTACTTAAGGGAAAACATAAGGAAAGATATGAAACTCTTTTAGATCCATATATTTGTACTCAGGGTCTCGCGCAGTTCCCCTCCCCCCAAAAAAGGCGCCATTTCGAAATTGCGGAAGACGCTTAAACAGCGTAAAAATGTCAGCCAGCATTTTGGCAAAGAACATTTATAATAATGCTACTGACTAATAATACAATTAAAATATTTTAACTTTACTAACAAACAATACAAATAACCTTGCCCGTTAGAATCAAAGAAATCTGATAATTTATGAGTGGGTTGCATGGCCGGAATTTTGCATATGTATCCTTTTGATTACTGGTAGAGTGGCCCTATAGCATATATGTATTCACTGCAGCAATAATTGAGTTGTTTTCTGTTGATATACAAGCTCAAAGTTTGTCTGAAAAGTGAATGACTCCATGTTTTCATCCAAGAATACCTAATAGCAGATACTAAGTCCAAATGAATTTGATTTAGAGTATCAATAATTCTAAATAGAGCACTTTTAAATGTTTTCATTAGTAGTCATTCTGCTTGATTTAGATTCAATTAATTAATATACTGATATATTTAGATGGTGTGTGAGGGAGTTCCGACAATTTTTATACACCTGCAAAAGCTCAAGATGGCAATATCCTAAGACAAATTTTCATACGACCCAGACAGCTATACGTTCGTACAATTTTCTTATTAATATGCTAGTTTGTCATCTTGTACGTCTAGCTGACTACGATTATCAGGAGCTGTAATCATCCTCTCCTACACCACCACTTGAGAAATTGAACGAATTATGTTTTGTTAATTTAGATCAAGAAAGATGTTTTTCTTTATTATTTCTATCATTATGAAGCTAACAGCAAATTGTTTGTCTCCACGCGTTTTCTTTTGTATAATCTGACATTTTATTTTCAGCGAGATGGACTGAAGAGATTCAAAAGATTTTATCCTTAATTTTTGAACAACAGTACAATTTTCTCACCACTTCTTGAAAGAACATTCAACTCACACACTGTTTTTATACGACTCGCCTTCAACAAAAAAGTCAATAAGTATTGATTAACAAATAGCCATCCATGATTTACACATTGGAAAAACATCCACTGGAAAGCTATGGATGAATTTTCAGCAAAATTACTCATTTGTAGATATTGAGAAAAAGGGAGCTCTGAACGACTAGTTTAATTCCACTTAAAGAGCAGCTGTGAATGAAGTTTAAAATTGCTTCTTGCAGGATCATAGCATTGCAGTGAAGGTTATCCGAACTAAAAGGGGCTATTTTATGTCTAAACCAAAAGTGTCTCTTCGACGACTTCCTCCATTACTATCCGTCAGTCCGGTGGGACTCCGGTATGCTCCATCGAGATACATGTCTCCTAGCCCCAACCAGTCATCCAGCAAGTATCACAAGAACTGTTGTGAACCCAGTCGTTATCCATCACCAGGACCTGGTGGTTACTTAGATGTTATGCCACGCAGAACACAGAGCAGGAGCAGCAGAATGTCTAAGACAGCGAAAAATAATGGTAAGTAGAAAACGTTTATTCACAGTTTTGTTTTGAAGACAAAGTGAAGAGTGAAAACTTGTTCGTGTAATCCAAACATATTTACGTCTCTTGTTGAAACCGCAGAAGCATAAGTAATAAGTAACTAAAATTAAATATAGTATAATCAACATCTGGGCTAATGCCTCTTTGGGCTTAAAGAAAAATAAATTTCCATGTTTCTACATCGCTGAAACGAATCACAGAAACTTCGTTATTTAAAAGCAAAAGGAAATTATTTTTAGTGTTTCATGAATAGCACCAGCGCCTTCTTACATCGAGTCGCAATACAGTGGATGTCTGTTAGGGATCTTCAGGCTGCTTCTTAAAGTGTGCTGTGTTATAAATCTTTTGGAGAGGTATATAAACTCTATGCATCCATTCTCATAAAATGCACTTGAATAAAATACTGTTGCGTGCGTGCGAGTTCGCAATAGATTAAATGCACAAGTCCGATAAAAAGTTAATAAAAATTTATTCTTATCACAAGAAATATAACAAAACGCTGCATTTTTCCTCAGAGATATTCGTACAGTATCAAAATATCACACAATATCACTCAAAGTAATCCTAGCAATTTCTGGAAAGGTAATCCTAGCAATTTCTGGAGTAGAATTACGATTACAGCTAACATAGTAATCAATTACATTTATTTGAATTTAAATATAATTTTCAGAGCTAAACTATTATTCAATGTTAAATGCACGTGCTCTTATACTTTTATTTTTCCGGGTAAAATCTGTCACACGCTGCATTGCACATGAAAATAAAGCAATTTTCCTGTGCTAAAATAAATAATTCCTGTGATAAAATAATAATTATACTAAAAATATCTAACTAAATTCAAAATTCGTAACACTGCCCCCTTCCCAAGGACTGCAAGCCTCGGGCAGTACAGTCCCTGGACAGGAAGCGATACTTACAACTAAAGCATCAATGCAATAATACACATTGCAATACAATAACAAACAAAATAAACAGTAATTGCAATAAATAACATAAAATAAACCAAATACAAATCAATAAATGAGTGCATAAATTTACAAATTTAGAAACAAAAAGGACCATGGTTTTATACAATTTGCATCATATACACTACGTACTATGGCTATCGCAAGAGATACCTAATGATAGTAATGAAAGACTTTAGGCTTAGAGTTCGATAACTTACAGATCCGAACCACGACATCGTTCGGGCTGTTTAGCACTGGGTAAGGATCATTCCAAGGTAACTGTAGGTCAGGACAAAGTCCTACCATCGAGTCGGATTCCACAACCACACCTTGTCTCCTTCGTTGAATCGATGTCCAGTAGCTACCATGTAGTAGCGGTTCTACATCTTCTCCGTCGCCAAGTTGACTTGATCTCTGACAAATTGTGGCATTTTCAAATGGGCTAGAGATCTTGGATGTATTCTTCAGCGATGAAGGCATGGAGGGCGCCAAACGAGATCACAAGGCAACGAAGATCACGATCGAAGAGCATCTGAGATGGGAATAGGCATATCTCGTGAAGCTTGCGGTAGCCACTAAAAACAGGTAACGTTCTTGTTCAGTCCGCTGGTTTCCCGAAGCACCAGAGAATCTATTAAGGACTTTTCGTTAAACGTCTCTACATGCCGTCTGACTGAGGAAGCAAGGCGTCGTTTGGATTTTGTCAATGCCGAGTAAATTGCATGTTTTGATTACACAGAGGTAAAATTCCTTCCTTATCGGAATTAACTGAAAATGCTCCCAACTGTAAATCCACGGCTTTATCATTACCATCGGCTACTGTGACAAGCCCTTGTATCATAATAGGATACGCTTCAGGGCACTTGATGAAATAATTAATGACAACGAGGATGTATTTGTTGCCATCAGCAGTTCTTGTCAGAGGTCCCAAATTGTCAAAGGCGATACGTTCAAGAGGCGCTTCTACTTTGTAACATTTCAGTTAAACTCGACTGCGTTTCTTCGAACTTTCCGACCTGCACAGGCATCGCAAGATCGGCACCATTTTTGCACGTTATCCCTTGCAATACTCCAGTAGAAACGCTCACGGACTCTCTGCAAAGTCTTCATATTCCGAAATGGCCTGTTGTAGGGTTGCTATATAGCTTTTTAAGGACGTCCAGAGTCCGGGATCTAGGTAGTATCAGCTGCCATTGGAAAGTCTTTCCATCATTCGATTCGAATTTTCAGTATAAGATGTTTCGAATGTGGAGTGAATCCCAGAGAACCAAGTATTGTCGTCGGACTGTAGATCGAAGTATCCTGCCAGGTAGGTTTTCTGTTTGAGGACTCCATTAAATGAAAAATGGGCTTGATATCGCAATCTTCCAGCTGGATGTTCCTTATTTCTTTGTCACTCCATGGATTTCGATCAGCCCATGTTAATGTTGTAATTTTCCGTGCAACTGGATTAAGCAGCTCATATTTCGCTTCGATTCTGGAACAATATCGGGAGCTTTCTGGGCAGGATCTTCTAGACAAGACGTCGGTGTTTCCATGTGATAATCCCTTCCGATGACGGATAGTGATGTTACATTTCTGGAGTTTCTGTATCCACCTGGCTGTTTGGCCTTCAGAATTCTTGAAATTTAAAAGTCAGATCAAAGAAACATGATCCGTCCGGAGCAGGAATTTTCTGCCTTGAAGATAATGATGGAAATGTTCTACGGCTTTAATTATGGCGAATAACTCTTTCTAGGTGACAGTAATTCCTCTCCGGTTTTGATAGGCACTTGCTCCAGTAAGCTAAGAAGCGTTTTTGGCCGTTTATTTCTTGGGACAAAACAGCACCAACTCTCTCATTGCTGGCATCCGTATTGAGAATATCTGAGTATACGTCAGAGTTAGATCCGATGTTAAAGCTTCCTTCAAGTTGTTAAATCCATCCTTACATTCTTTTGCCCACAAGAATATTTGTTTGCTTTCTGTTAGTTTGTGGAGGAGTCTTGCAACGAAAGAAAAGTCCTTCACAAATCTCATATAGTTGGTGCAAAGCCCCAGGACACATCTTAGCTGATGAATATTTTCGGGCATCTCCAATCTTTAACTGCTGACACTTTTTCTGGAACACACCTTCGGCAAAGATGACATATCCAAGGTAAGTCACTTCCTGTCTGAATAATTTGCATTTAGCGGGACTCAACTTTAGATTGGCTTCTTCTTCCAGTTTCTGAAGCACCTTCCTAACATTTTCTAGATGTTATTCAAAACTCTTCCTGACGATGATAATGTCATCCAGGTATATCAGACAGGCTTCGTAGGAAAGACCTTTCAAAACAGTCTCCAGGAAGCGTTCGAATGTTGCTGGCGCTTTACATAGTCCAAACGTCATCCCTTTGAACTACCAAAGTCCTTGTCCCTAGTAAATGCCGTATTTTCTCGGTCATCAAGATGTATCTCTACTTGCCAATATTCACTCTTTAGACCAAACGTCAAAAACTACTTGCTTCCAGAAAGAGTGTCCAGAATGTCGTCAATTCCAGGAAGAGGGTAGATGTCTTCCTTCTTAACCTCGTTCAACTGGCGATAGTCAACGCAAATTCTAATTGAACCGTCTTTCGTTTTCACCGAGACAATGGGAAATACCCAGGGACTTGCTGAAGGCTTGATGAAATTCCTTTCTTGCATATCTTTTAGACGTTTTCCTACCTCTTCCTGTTTAGCTATCGGCAGATGTCTTAGATGTTACTTAGTCCCCGGTATCAATTCTATGATATGTCAAACTGGTTCGACACATGTCAGAAGACGAGCGGGAGAAAACATCTTGAACTTCTTGAATGACATGTTTGGCAGCGTTCGTATCTTCATCGCTTAACTGTGCATTCTGAAATAACTCCGATGTAATGCTCTCTGAAGACACGAATTCTGAAGTGTTATTGTTTCGTTTAACCCTGGGCCCTGGAGTATATACTGCAACCACTTTACCTTTCTTAATAATTCTCGCCTTCTCAGTTACATTGGCAATTGTCACCGGGATAACGGTCCTCTATAGGCCGACGAGTACTGAAGCTACTAGTACTCTTTTCGGGCTGTTACAGTTCTGGGGACATTCTATGATGTTGTAGTGGAAATTTCAATTTAGGCTATGGATCCAGGAAGTAAAATTTCTGTTCTTTCGGGTATTGTGATATCGTCTTGAGCTATGATTTTATGGATAGATTTCACTCCTTCATCATTATTTCCGAATAGGACTATGTCCTCAGAGGCAGAACGCAGTTCGTTATTTTTAAAGTCCAAGGAAAAATTGCCTTTCCATAGAAAGTCCAATCCGAGTATGCAATAATCTGTAATCTCTACCACATATGCTGTGTGATGGTACGCGGCATATCCAAACGTGATGTTAACGTTTAATTTTCCATCAATGTCGATTTTATCGTCGGACACAGCCTGGAGGGTAATGCAGGACGGCATCTAGATGAGATTACCTTTCAGTTATTGAACCAAATCTTTTCGAATGATGATAACATTGGCTCCTGTGTCAAAGGGCATATTTGCAAGGAACTCCATTGATATGTCCTATCATGAAAAGTCCATTACTGCCACCACTGACTGCAGAAATGTGAAGCGCTTTAAACTGGGGCTTTTCATTATTTGGAAACCCCCGCCCCGCGAGATGGCTACTAATTAGTTTTCCTGTTTCTTGTTGAGGGGAGGTCTTAACATCCGTACCATGGGGTGTTCTGCAGTTCCTTCGTACGTGGCCTTCAGTACCGCAGTTCCCGAACTTTAGTGTTTGTTTTATGTCACGCCTATTTCACCTCAAGACAATGACTTGTCTAGTTAAATCATTTAGACGAGCAGTCAGTTGATCCACTCGCTCTTGCACTTGAGTGGCTCTGATTGGGTGGCAATCTCTGCGAGTTTCTTGCTGGGCTACCTCGAATTTCATGGCCTACACCAGAGCGCTTTTTAAGTCCTTGACATCCGCCATTCGTAGAGCCTTCTGTATTTCGGGATCCCGGATACCATAGATAAATTACTGCAGGGACA